TTTTATTACACGGGGAAGGTGCCTTCACATCTTCCTCTCAAACATACGAGGCTAATTGCTCTCACAATTGGAGCAGTCTTTGGAAGATGAACACTTTCGACCTTGATCGTGACAGTGCTATTAGCGAATAAGCAAAGAACAAGCATGAAAAAGTATGAGAGGTGATGCAAAGTTTTAGTTTTTTTTAATGATTTAAAAGGAGTAAGTGCCTTTGCCTGATGCAAAGTTTTAGTTTTTTTTGATGATTTAAAAGGAGTAAGTGCCTTCGTATATGTTATTGTAAAGTCACTTAGCAACGGTGAAAAAGGTTTGGCACTCTATATGCATATTTTTTTAGAACCATTTCACCAATCACAGTAAGATACTCAGTATAAAATAATAAATGAAGTTTTCTAAAGCATTTTAATGCTTATTATTAAAATCTTTTTGCGATAGAAAAAATGTCTATCATCCTATAAATATTCTAACATTATTGTTCTTCTTGATCATCAACTGAATCAGTTATTCAGCATCGTACTAACCCAGTCACCATCACGTTTGGACAAGTTACCTGATGGCGCAAAGGACGATGGGGGAATGATAGAACAGACGGCAAGGAGAAGAAGAAAGCTGACTTTCAGAACCATAGTTGAAACTGAAACAAACTGCAAATGATAGAAGATCAGTGTGTCAATAAGAAATCGTGATACCCACTTTGAAATGGTGTGCATGATGATAATACTTTGTAAACGTTTTATAGTCTCAGGGACGACACGAGGTATGCAGTATTGTAGTATCGGTTCAGATGGTATTGTATATAACATGAAAATAACGATAAACGCTTCATATTACCTGGTGAACTCGCTGTAGCTGCTTCTTTGCTTGAGCTGCTGCAGGTATCATAAAATCACTGTGAAATGTGCTTAAGTAGACGTCTGATAATTAAAGATTTTGACTAAATGAAAAAGACGATCTATAGTGTCGTACCTCAGGGTGCAGAGACCTTTGTCAGCCAAAGGTGCTGAAATCTTTTCGAAATCCAGGGGTTGTAATTTGTTATCGTGATTAATGTCCAGAAAATTTCAGAGGCTGTCCCCTATCCCTCTTGCGATATAAAAACTAACACGATGTGATATATAGATAACACAGGAGGAACCCATTTTTTTTTGGATGATATCAGAGTTTAGTATACTTTAGTATCCTCAAAATAATTTACAATTTATTTATTTTGATTTTCCCGCGAGTGGTCTATCACAAATTTGACCGACCGGTTAGCTCAGTAGGTAGAGCATCGGACTTTAGTGCGGGAGGTCGCAGGTTCAAACCCCGGTCGGACCAACACTCAGGATCTTAAAATAATTGAGGAGAAGTTGCTGCCTTTGTCTTTCTCCATCTGCNTTTAAAAAGAATGAAAACGCTTGAACCGAATAAGTTCATATTAAACACAGTTAAGAATTGATAATTTAAATTCGAAATACAATTTTCTGGAATTCGGTTGCTAGCGTCATCTACCGCGGCGCATTGCCGTCCCTTGTGTATGTTAACAAGTTGGCTGAATCGGCTTAACTAGTTCATTAGTTTATTAGAATCATTTTGCCGACAGAAAAAACAACAACATTTCACATTTATTTAAACATTTGTTTTTTTTCAGGCCGATGTTATAAATATTCATGTTTTAATTAATTAGCATATGTCAATACAACATTTTTTTAGTTGGAAACTAGTCTGTAAAAATGCTAGATCCGCCCCTGCAGCATATGTATACCTAGCTAGCTACTCAAGACACTACTATAATAGTTTTTATCATAGATTTTATTACACGGGGAAGTTGCCTTGTCGCAGTTCACATCTTCCTCTCAAACATACGAGGCTATTGCTCTCACAATTGGAGCAGTCTTTGGAAGATGAACACTTTCGACCTTGATCGTGACAGTGCTATTAGCGAATAAGCAAAGAACAAGCATGAAAAAATAGGAGAGGTGATGCAAAGTTTTAGTTTTTTGAATGATTTTAAAGGAGTAAGTGCCTGCGTATAGACCACTTTCATAAGTGGCTACCATCGATTTTATACAATTTATAATGTTATGGAAGCATTCAACTGTCATATGGAAGACCTATTAGAAATAGGTATTCATGGAAAGTTTTAAAGCCATTGACTAAATACTAACAAAGTTATCGAGGAATAAAAATACAGGGATTTGTATGGAAATTATCTGTTAGTGACTGGGTAGCCTCGTTTTGGTGTTTTCGTATCTCTTCTAACCTTTATAACTTCAAGAGTATTTAATATGTTGTGAAACTTTCAGAGTTTGTCTTTGGCTTTGATATCTACCATTTGAGTGTTTTCATTTGTGAACATTATTAATAGAGCGATAATATGCTAATTAGTGTCAGCCATTATGAGAGTCGTGAATGTATTTGTAAAGTCACATAGCAACGGCGGAAAACGTTTGGCACTCTATATGTATATTTTGAGAACCATTTCACCAATCACCGTACGATACTAAGTATAAGATAATAAATGAAGTTTTCTAAAGCATTTTAATGCTTAATATTAAAATATTTTTGCGATAGAAAACATGCATATCATCCTATAAATATTCTGACATTATTATTGTTTTTCTTGATCATCTACTGAATCAGTTATTCAGCATCGTACTTACCCAGTCACCATTACGTTTGGACAAGTTGCCTGATGGCGCACAGGATGATGGGGGAATGATAGAACAGACGACAAGGAGAAGAAGAAAACTGACTTTCAAATCCATAGTTGAAACTGAAACAAACCTGCAAATGATAGAAGATCAGTGTGTCAATAAGAAATCGTGTTACCAACTTTGAAATGGTGTGCATGATACTACTTTGTTAACGGTTAATTAGTCTCGGTGGACGAGGTATGTAGTATTGCAGTATCCGTTCAGATGGTATAGTGTAATATGAAAATAACAATCGAGAACGCTTCATATTACCTGGTGAACTCGCTGTAGCTGCTTCTGAGTGGTTGCTTGATTGCTGCTGCAGTTATCATAAAATCACATGTGGACAATAGATTTGATTAGCCCTCGCTAGATGAATTAATGAGACTTTATCTTTCTTTAATATGGGTAGTCTTATGCAAATGATCTTTTTCAACTTTATCAGTATTTAAAATCCAGTCCGGACAAAAACTTGTATCGAAATACTTTCGGGGAACGTACAATTTTATATCGATTCTATTAATATAGTGTATTTCATGCAATAAAACAAGAATTCAATCTTTCTTCTTCGTGTCTGTTCGTCGGAAGCAGCTAAAGGCAATCAAAAATATAAAGCGGAGAAAAAAAGTAATATAATGTATTCTTTTTCATGGACTATATCTTTGTATCTCCTGCTTTGTATGTAATATTATTTCTACGTGTTTGCGTAGTTTGTAGTTGGACTAGTTGGACTCCGCTATATTAATCTCCTTCCTATGTTTTTTTAGGTGGGGAGAGCGCAGTCTAGCTGCACTTATAAGCACTTTGGGCCTTGTACCACAGAGACCTTTATCAGCCAAAGGTGCTGAAATCTTTTCGACATCCAGGAGTTTTATTTGTTATCGTGATGTCCGGAAAACTTTCAGAGCCGTCCCCTATCTCCTGCGATATAAAAACTAATAGATATAGATATAGATAACACAGGAGGAATGGATCATATCAGTATATAAGTGAACGCAGCTTTAAGACTCCATCTTAATGTTTCATCGTTTTGAAATATATTTAGAAAAGATTTTCTGACACACAATTCTTAAAGATTACAATTGACCTTTTTATATGAAGAATTTGTTGATCCCACATGGCAGAGCCATGTGCTAAACATCGTTTTATTTTGTGTGTAAGCTTTAGCTTAGGTGCGTTTGATTAAGTGACTTTTTACGACATTCTTCGCACTCGACCTATTCGGGCATCTTTTCAATGTTTTTTTATTCAAATCCTAAATTACCTTTGCTACAATTCCATGAATAGGCAAGGGTTTGTTTCAATCTTTTGGAACAGATTTTTACTCAAAAGCAGTACAATTCTTGCCACAACAAATTTTTGCATTTTATTTTTTCGCACGCCTATAATTGTCAACATCTTTCCAGTCATCTTTGTCTGAACTTTTCGACCCCCTGTTTTCGCAAACAATATTGCTCTTAAATATACAACAATTTTTTAAAATATCAAAATTATCAAAG